GGTTTAGGGTTTAGGGTTCGAAACTCCAGGGCCCAAGTCCTAGCCCGGGCTCCACATACTCCAACACCCCTTCATTCGGCGGATCCGTAGAAGAATCTGTGAAACTTCTCCTGAAGTACAGGGCATTGCAGTCTTTGGGGGGGGTTGTTCGAACGACGAGGGCTTTTTGGAATGCTTTTTGATGCAGCCTCCCTCCAAGGGAGGTTCTGAGGATTCGGTGAGGGACCCAGACACATGCTCGGCTAGGGTTTAGGGTTTAAGGTTTCTTTGAACCCCGAGCCTTGAACCCAAGAAGCGAAAAAAAGACGAAACCAAAAAGAGCAAGAAACACCAAGGAAAGAAAAAAGCCCGCAAAAGAGAATAGAAAGAAACACCTCTCAAAGCTCTTAAGACCTAAACCCTAACCCCTCAAAAAACACACCCAAACCCTCCCTGCGGCCCATAAAGCCTAGCCTTTAAGGGAAGTACTGTTGATGATATAAACCGTGCATTACCTTAAGGACCCTACCCTAAACTATGGGAATTATGGTATATTGCTTTTTTTGGGTAATGCAGGATTTATATCATCAACCGCATGTCAAGAAACCATACCCAGAAACCCGAAGGATGCTGGTTTTTTGGCTACAGTCCCTCAAGCCCTTAACCAGAAACCCTAAAGCCCGAAACCGTGAAGACCTAAACCCCAACCCGAAACCCCAAAACCCTAAAGCCGAAACCCGAAAGCCCTAAACCCGAAATCCTAAACCGTAACCCCAAAGCCCCAAACCTTAAACCCTAAACCCTAAGTCCCAAAACCCTAAACCCCAAAACCCCTAAACCCTAAACCTTAAACCCGAAACCCCTACATCTTCAAGGTGCCTCAGTGGGCACCGGCCCGCCGCCCCAAGTGAGAGACCCAGGTCGCCATGCCTAGAAGAAGCGGCTTGGGGCTTTAAGGGTTCCTTCGGGGGTTTAGGGTTTAGGGTTTAGGTTTTAGGGTTTAGGTTTTAGGCTTTAGGGTTAAGAAGTTGAGGGTCTAGGGTTACTTTAAAAGGTAATTTCAAGGGTTCTATAATAGGGTCCTGCTTTAAGGCGTACTGTGGGCATTTTAGGGTTCCTGTAAGGGCTTCTTTAAGGAGTGCTGGCTCGTGGTTAAGGTTTCATGTAAGGGTCCCTTTAAGGGTTCCTTGTAAGAAGTTCCTGTAAGGGCTCCTTTTCGAATTCCTTTTGGGGCTCCTCCAAAATTCCAGGTTCAGGGTGCCTTGTAAAGGGTTTAGGGGTTCTGTTTAGACTGTAGAGTTCCTCTAAACCCCATAAACCCCTGAACCTCTAAACCCCTACAACCCTAAAAACCTAAAAACCCACACTCCCTAAACCCCTAAAACCCTCAAAACCTAAAACCCCACACTTCCTAAAACCCCTAAAACCCTGTAACCCTCGACCCTTAAACGCCTGAACCCCTGAGCCTCCCCCGCCTTCCGAAATCGAGCCCATCCTCTATGTGGGGTTTAGGGTTTAGGGTTTAGGGTTTAGGGTTTAGGGTTTAGGGTTTAGGGTTTAGGGTTCCCAGAATCATCGAAGCCTGTGGCCAACCTAAAGCGTAAACCCCCAACCCAACCCACCCGACAGCCTACTCCCCCAACTCAAAGGACTAGGGTTTAGGGTTTAGGGTTCAGTGTTGAGGGGTTTAGGGGGTTTAGGGGTTTAGGAGTTTAGGGTTTAGGGTTTAGGGTCTCGGGTTTGGGTACTGCCCCTGCACAGTAACCGTCTATAACATGGCTAATTACCCTTCAGGGTCTTATAGATCTATATTATGAATGTTCTTCAACTGCTACTGAGTGGGGGCAGTATCCAACTTCTGACCCCTTAGAAACCCTCCCGTTTCAAACACACCCTCAAGGGGGAACCCTAAACCCTAAACCCTAACACTGTCAAACCTTCCAAAGGCTCAGAAATCCCAGAGTACCCAGAACCCCACAGGCTTTGAAGAAATTGAGACACTGCCAAAGCCCGCGTTTAAGCCCGCAAAACCCTGAAACTCTGAACCCAAGCTCCGAAAAACACTTCTGGCACCCTTAAGAGGTTTAGGGTTTAGGGTTTGGGTTTTTTGTTTAAAGTCCTTTTTCGTCAGGGTTTGGGGTTTAGGGTTTGTGGTTGAGGAACCATGAACCCTGAACAACCTCAGCCCCAAGGACCCCCGGACAACAAACCCATAACCCTACCAAAACCCTAAACCCCAAACCCCAAACCCTAAACCCTAAAACCCTAAGCCCCAAACCCTAAGCCCCAAACCCTAATCCCCAAACCCTAAACCCCAAACCCTAAACCCCTAAACCCCTAAGCCCTAAACCCTAAAACCCTAAGCCCCTGTTTCAAAAGGACCCGCAACGCCGTGCCTTGGTCGGCGCGGTCCCCGTGGAGCTGGAGCCTCCGACCCCTCTGAATCCAGCTGCTCCAGACCTGTGCTTCAAAGGGGGGCCGGTTTTTAAGGGGTTTAGGGTTTAGGGTTGAGGGTTTGGGGTTTGGGATTTAGGGTTTAGGGTTTGGGGTTTAGGGTTTAGGGTTTAGGGTTTAGAGTTTAGAGTTTAGGGTTTAGAGTTTAGAGTTTAGGGTTTAGGGTTGAGGGTCGAGCAGACTTCAAAGGGTTTCACAGGATTCTGGTGCCGTTTTAGGGGGGTTTGTACTAGCCTAGGGACCGGTTCGAGGGTAGGATAAGGGTCTGCAGGAGTTTAGGCACGTTGTAAGGGTACTATACAAGGGCGTATGGGAGTTTAGGGTCCTGAGGTATTGAACCCTAAACCCTAATCCCTAAACCGTTTTGGCAAGGGTATTGAAGGATTCCAGGGTCCTGCTTAAAAGAACCTTCGTGGATTCCTTTAGTCGAGGACTTACCGTTGCAGGTACTACAAGGGTCCCTTTCAGCATACTATAAGGATATAAAGGGTTGTGTTAGGGTACTCAAGCTTTTAGATGTCTAGGGGTTGCTCTAGACCTCGGATGTTGTGGGTTGAGGGGCTTAGGGTTCTAGGGTTTGGGTCTAGGGTTTAGGGGTTCGAGGTCTAGGGCTGGGTAATATAGAAGCCTAAACAATTACCAACATTATT